GATAGCCTCTGAATAGCTTAGACTTCCCTTTTGTATAGAAATGTGCTATCAGTGTAGCCTCTGTTAATTGAACAATGCCCTTCTTAAACCTGTTTACACTTTCTTCAAATTACTCTTTTTTGTACTTGTGATATTTGTCACAAGTTTACATGTGATTTGAGATTTCCTTTTACTGGTTTTAAAACATCTAGTTAGTGTGTTTTAGGATTTCTTTTAAATGACTTAATAAAATGGAGCCAGGCTGTGGTAGTTTACCTGCAACCATGATTTTACACGGAATTTAGTTTTATTGTCTAATTTTCTTTTCAGATTGGAGTTCTTACTCTTTAAAGGTAAAAACCATTTTATTTTTGTAAATACTTCTTAGTTGCCTTGTTTTGTACCTTCACTGGCTTTGTTTTATGTCTTTGAAGTAGCTAATGGAAGGTCTTGAAATATGCTGGATGCATATATAACCCTGGCTTTGTGTAGTGTTGATTTATCTCTTTTTTACACTTTTATGATTACTCTTTATTATCTTTGTATATGTTTTAGAAGTGGAGTATTGCTGTTTCTATCTTATTTCATTACTCACATGTTTTACATAGGCTAGGGTCATAGAATAAAGATAGAGCAGAACCAGAACTTATTAGTATTTCCTGATAGTTTTTCACTCAACTTGAATTCCTGGGGAAAGAAGCAAAGTATGCATAAGCAAACCTGAATGGCATACTGATTGCCTATTAACTCTGTGTGCACACATGCATACACACACACAGTTGGTGAATGAACAGTTGGACAACATCAGAACTGGGCCTGCCTTAGTGGCCTGGAAGGTATTAATCAAAGTCAGGCTGGCTCTGGTTATACTCAGCACCAAGACCAATTTCAGAATTCCAAACCAAGATGTCCTCAGTAGCTTTGGGGTTCCATCTAGCTGTTTTTCTGCCTAGAAGATTCTTAATTGGAAAGCATTTTAATTGTTGTTCAGTATGCTACTGGTTGCAATGATCTTCAAGTCATTTGATTGCCTTTTTTCTCCTGATGTCCTTGATCTTTTTGTTATTTTTGACACAATTGAGTAAACCTTCAAAACTTCTAGCTTTTCCGGCTCTGTTTGATTTACAATTCTGTGTATTTCCTAGTCCTCTGTGACACCCCTTTCCCAAGTCTTTTATCCATCTAGGAATTTCAACCACTATTAGGGTTACTGGGTTTTATATCCTCCCAAATCATTTCTGACTGTAGTATTTTGCTCTAATTTTATGGGCCTCCAGATCACATGAGACTTCATAATATTAAAAATCAGTTACCAGCATGTGTTCATTTAACAAAGGTTTAGTGCCTACATCTATTCCTGGCACTGGGGAGAAATAGGGGGAACATCTGGCACAGGGAACAAAACCTTATAGACATAGCTATGAAAAAATTAGGTGTTTTGGGAGCATCTCTTAATCCTACAGGTTGCAGTCTTAGTATTTCTGTTGGATTTTCTGTTAATTAAGTCATACGATTTTTTTCTATGTCGTTTCCTCCTTAATTTCTCTAGTCATAATCTATTTTAGGGTGGCAATTCCTAATCTTAATGAATGACTTGGAACCAGTATAAAACTGCTGAACTTTAGTACTTTAATTGATTGAAAAACTTACATTAAAAGATGTTAGAAATTCAACAATACTTTTAAAGTGAATTATATCTTATTACAATAGCATTAACATTCAGATTTAGACAGTTTTAGCCACCTTTATGCTAGATGATGTTCTAGGTACTGAAATTAGCTTGATGTGTCTCCCAATCCAAGATGTACAGGTTAGGAAATGTTGCTGTATGCCTTACAAGTCAACTCTTAGATTATTACAACCCTTTCCAATTTTCCTACTTAATCTCTTTTATATTTGTCCTACACACTTGCTATAATAATTATCACACAGACACCAACGTTATTACATCTTAATGTCAAATCTAGATTATTGAAATTTGAGATTTCATATACTTGCCTGGTATCTTCCACACCTTTTCTTTCTTTTCCCAATCTGACTGTGATTGTATTTAAACCTTAATTGTGAGGCTTTGGAAAGTTATACTGCCTTTATTCACCTTGCTTTAACCCATTACTTCCTAGCTGTTTCTTTGGAAGATTAGTCCATTTTCCTAATAGACATGATTGGAATGTGACATCATGAAATAACAGGAATGTATGCATGGTAAAATTGCTATGTATAAAATGATTTCTAGACTTTAATCAGTGGCCCACCTCAAGGAGTGTTTGGAATTACTTAAGTGGCAGTTTGACACAAAATTCTACTGAACCATATTCAGATGCTGTGGCTAATAAAATCTGTAAGTGGAAAATGCAGGAGGGTCAGAGTTACTCATTTGGATATGAGAGTTTGTAGTCAGGTTTTGAGGCTGCAGCTAGTGACACAAAGGGAACTTGAGAAGATTCTCTGCTTTGGACTGTTGCAGAGCAGTCTCTTGTTTCACAGTTGTCAAAAGCCCACTTAATGAGAGTACACAAACTAAACAGAAAAAAACAACCTACTTGGCCAGTTCTGGCCTAAAAATTACACAGGTGGATACATGCTGTCCTATTTTTGAAAACAAAGGTACCACAATAATGTTTGTGTGGTGTATGTCTGTCCATGTTACTGATATGAAAGTCCAATTCATACTGTGGGTGAAATTGTTTCAAAAGTTCTTTTACTGTAATTATGGTGCTAAACTCCCTTAGTCAGAGCCTGTTAGACCTGCCTTGTGAATTCTGTGTTCTAGCTTTCTCTTCCAGGGGAAGTTAAAATATGAAAAAAGGCTTCTTGATACATATTTTTAAATTGATTTTTTTGGGGGGGAGAGGGGGGGTGAGAAACATGAGTTGGCTGCCTCATACTACATGCCCCCTACCCAGGGTTGATCCTGAAACCTGGAATTGAACTGACAACCTTTCAGTGTACAGGATGATTCCCAGCCAACTGAGCCACACTGGCCAGGGCAAAAGGCTTGATTTGACTTGATGTAGTCCAATCCCCCATGTATTGAGCTTCTACTGTGTGCCAGCCACATGAAGTTAGGTGTTTTATATTCTTTAATATTCATAGTAACCACTTAGGTAGTAGAAATCCTATTTTACCAAAGGAAAAACAGACCCAGAAAGGTTGAGTGACAGCCAAAGTTGTACAACTAGTTTGTAATAAAACAGATATTAGAACTAACTACTTTTCTCCATTTTTATCCTTATCTAGGAATACATATTTAGCTTTTTGAGCTAGAGTCAAAGCATTTTCTTAAGGGATTTCTGGGTTATAAGCTAAAAAGGACAAAGGTTGATTTTAGAATATGAGGCTTAAATTTGTATATATAATTTGCTATTGTATGCTTCAATTGCTCTGCTCTTAGCATCATAGACAATTTTTCACATTTTTTGGTTATGTTTGCTTCTTTAGATATATAAAAGCTTTAGTTTTGTGGGTGAAAGGGATAAAAGAAGTTTTTATACTTGTTAAGCATAACCTGGTCACTTTTTAAAATGTTTTTATTGATTTTAGAGAGAAGGAAGAGGGGGGAGAGAGAGAAAGAGACATTGCTAGGAGAAACCAATTGGTTGCCTCCCAAATGGAATCAAACCCATAACCTAGGCATGTGTCTTGACTGGGAATCCAACCAGCAGCCTTCTGGTACAACAGGACGATACTCCAACCATCTGAGCCACACCAGCCAGAGATAACCTGGTCATTTTGTACAGCAAACTCAATGCACCCATCATTTAGCATGCAGATGCACTTTATACAGGGTGGGACAAAAGTAGGTTTACAGTTGTGTGTATGCAAAACACAGAGTTCATTCTTGCATTGTTGTATTAGTTTCCATTCAAACAACTGTAAACCTACTTTTGTCCCTCCCTGTATATAATGGCATACAGCAAACTCAATGCACCCATCATTTAGCATGCAGATGCACTTTATACAGGGTGGGACAAAAGTAGGTTTACAGTTGTGTGTATGCAAAACACAGAGTTCATTCTTGCATTGTATTAGTTTCCATTCAAACAACTGTAATCCTACTTTTGTCCCTCCCTGTATATAATGGCATACATACTGCTTTCCATCTCTTTCTAATATTAATAGTAATATTTCTGCCCTGGCCAGCATCAGTCAGTGGTTAGAGCATTGGCCTGCACAATCAAGGGTTAGTGGGTTTGATTTCCGGTCAAGTGCACCTACCTAGGTTGCAGTTCGCTCTCCACCTGTAGTCTGGGCACATGCCAGAGGCAACCAGTAGATGCGTCTCTCACATTGATGTTTTGTTTTGTTTTTTTCTCTCTCTGCCTCCCTTCCAATGGGGAAAAATACCCTCTGGTGAAGATTAACCAAAAAAAAATTAATATCCTAGGCATGCAGAGAAGTACCACCTTACATTTGGATATTTTTCCCATTGCTTCTCAGAGAGAGAGAAACATCAATGTCAGAGAGACACATCAACTGGTTGCCTCCTGTATGCACTCCAACCTGGGGCATGGAGCCAGAAATCTAATCCCCAACCTTTCCTTAGTGTTGGCCCTCAATGGTAAGGGCCAACACTAACTACCAAGAACACTGGCCTGAGCTCGACTCTTCCTTTTTAAAGGATTTTCGTATCCTTGGGAGCAGAAAACGGGAGATTTAGTCATCAGTTTAGAAATTTTATAAAAGATGTCAAAATAATTATACTTCATTGACCTATATATATCATGTCAAAATTTGATTTTGAATTACATCAATAAGGCGGAGGGCTATTAAAGTGTTCTGTCTCTGCTCATTTATGATACATTTTAGATCTCCCACATTTTTTTTTCTGGATATTTATTAGGAGATGGTGTAGAGGTTTGGTAAGTAATACAGTTTAGTTTTGTATGTCTCAAGGGTTTCTCATTCAGTCACATTTTTGAGGTTTTTTATTCTGGCCTTTTTTTCCTGGTGGTTCTATTTGTAGTATTACCTAAAAATCCTTGTGCTAATGCTAATTTTGATTTTTTTTTTCTCACTAGCATATATTGGAGTATTCAGACTTGAAGAAGGATATAGGTAAAAAATATATAATATGAAACATTTTCTAACATTAAGTTTATCAAATCTCTTTAGTTGCATACTTGCCATATTCACTCTGAAAATTATTTACAAAACAAATTAAGTGGTATAGGTTTTGCCAAAACAATTATGAATATTTTGCTTCTATTTAAGTTTATAAGCATAGCATTAATTCTCTTAATCCTTAAAGTCAAAAAACTTGGTTTTATGTTATTTTTTATTATTTTTTTTAATATATTTTATTGATTTGTCACAGAGAGAAAGGGAGAGAGATAGAGAGCTAGAAATATCGATGAGAGAGAAACATCGATCAGCTGCCTCCTGCACATCTCCCACTGGGGATGTGCCCACAACCCAGGTACATGCCCTTGGCCGGAATCGAACCTGGGACCCTTCAGTCCGCAAGCCGATGCTCTATCCACTGAGCCCAACCGAGTTCTGGGGTTTTATGTTATTGTTTTAGGAAATACTGAGGACTTGTAAGTATTTTCCCTCTGTGTGAAATTTTATGAAGGATTTGAATTACTTAATTGTAAAGTGAATTGCAAATACTAACCTAAAGCACACTTTACTTATTTAAAATTGATTTATTTTAAAATATTTTTATTGATTTTTTTTTTATTTTAGAGGAAAGGAAAGGGAGAAAAACATCAATATGATAGGAAACATTGATTGGCTGCCTCCTATACGCCCTCTACTGGAGGTTGAGCCCACAGCTGGGAACCAAACTGGCAGCCTTTTGGTGTACAGGATGATTGATGCCCAACCAACTGAACCACTGGCCAGGGCTAAAACACATTTTACATTTATCAGAATCAGGCCTTACTACTGCTTTGTCCCAAATGTTTTCTCACCCTCATTGGATATAAACCCTATATCATGTCTACCATGTATCTGAGCTTGGTGTGCCAAGTTAAGTATTGCATGTCCTTATAAATTCTTTTCTGTGACTAGAAGCTGTAGAAGACCAGAAAACCTTGGAGGTGATGTATTCCTTTATTTGCTTCATAAAGTTGCTTTAAAAAGTCTTCATTTTAATAGAGAAGCAAGATATGCCACTCATTTTTATTTTTTAAAGTTAATTTAGTAACATCAAAAATGTTAACACTAATTTTTCTGTCAAACATTCTCTGCAAACAAGATTTTGCAGTGTTTTTTTTTTTTTACTTGGAGCTAAAGTTCGCTTAAACTTCATTTACTTGGAGTAGACCTTGGTAGTGAATGACTGAAAAAGACAAGGTTCTTTTCTGCAGAGTGAGTGAGAACACAAGTTTCTGCATATACATAATATATGTTCTCTCTTTTTACTTTGTTTTGATAGTCAATCTTTAAAAATGGGCTCTGATGGCAATTTAGAAAAAGAATATATTTTTAAAAATTCTACTTTTACGTCTCCTTTGTAGTAAACTAATTTAGCCAAGATCAGATTGGTAATTTACCCAAGGTATCAGGTAGAACCGTTAATCCACTGAATAATTTAATAATGAAAAAATCTCATGGTACATTTGGGATATATTTTTTCTTTGATGTTGAGTTAGAAGTTTATCTCCTTTGGCTCATGAAACCACAGCAGCTCTCGTTACTGTGCCACATCTACCTAAGAGGAAGGTGGAGTCACCTTCTCAAAAGTAAACTCCATTCATTGTCCCTCACAATCTGCCAGTGACCATGACTTCTAAGGTTCACTCTTGGAACCAAAGTCAAGAAGGTAAGGAAGAGGATGCTAATCAAATAAACCGTTTGCAGCCTCTCTAATAACACCCTTTAGATCAGTGGTTCTCAACCTTCCTAATGCCGCGACCCTTTAATACAGTTCCTCATGTGGTGACCCCCAACCATAATATTAATTTCGTTGCTACTGTTATGAATCGTAATGTAAATATCTGATATGCAGGATGTATTTTCATTGTTACAAATTGAACATAATTAAAGCATAGTGATTAATCACAAAAATAATATGTTATTATATACTATATATTATATATGTGTTTTCCAATGGACTTAGGTGACCCCTGTGAAAGGGTCATTCGACCCCCAAAGGGGTCGTGACCCACAGGTTGAGAACCACTGCTTTAGATGATCATTTATATGAAAAGTAATATTTACTTTTACTACAGATCTGCCTCTAGATACTGATTTTTTTTAATATATTTTATTGATTTTTCACAAAGAGGAAGGGAGAGAGATAGTTAGAAACATCAATGAGAGAGAAACATCATCAGCTGCCTCCTGCACATCTCCTACTGGGGATGTGCCCGCAACCCAGGTACATGCCCCTGACCAGAACCGAACCTGGGACCTTTCAGTCCGCAAGCCGACGCTCTATCCACTGAGCCAAACCGGTTTCGGCTAGATACTGATTTTCCCCCAAAAAATTTCCAGGAGCTTTGCTCAATGTCTTTTCCTAAGGAAGTGAGCCGGCCCGGTTGGTGTTGCTCAGTGTTTGAGTGTCAACCCATGAACCAAGAGTTCCCCGATTTAATTCCCTTTAGGGCACATGCCCAGGTTGCAGGCTCAATCCCAGTGGGGGGTGTACAGGAGGCAGCTGATCAATGTGTCTTTCTCATTGATGTTTTTATCCCTCTCCCTTTCTCCCCCTCTAAAATCATATATATGAGCAGGGAAAGCTCACAAATATTGGGAGAAGAGAATTACACAGGGAAGGTACTTTTCTCAAAAAAAAAAAAAGAAAAGAAAATAGAGAAGAGGTTGCAGGGAATTTAGTGGGGTCGTCATTAGGGAGGCAGGAGATGATGTAAAGAAGTAATTTGCAGTGTGATTTGTTTCCTGTGTGGCTCAGTTACAACTAACATGAAATAAGTGTTTCATTTCTTAGCATGAAGTTGGAGAAGAATGGGAAGCCAGCCTGGAGGGAGGTGCAAATTTGCAGCAGATGCTCTGTATCCAGGTGGCAGAAATGGCATTCAGTCTGAGGGCAAGAGCATCTTCAAAAGAAAAAAAATCTATAAATAAAAATGAATCTTATCACCTTCACCATCTTCAGCCAATGGAGAGGATAAGGCTTCAAGACGGGCATTTGAATGGCTTTTAGGTTGTCATGAAAGTATATGTTAAAAAAAAAAATTGGAATTATATACTCAAGATTTTTTTTCTGGCTCCTTATTCTCCTGATACACATTTCACAACTAAAATACTCCTAACATTTTATTATAATCCTTTAACTGCATTAGCACAGTGGTTCTCAACCTTCTGGCCCTTTAAATACAGTTCCTCGTGTTGTGACCCAACCATAAAATTATTTTCGTGGCTACATCATAACTGTAATGTTGCTACTGTTATGAATTGTAATGTAAATATCTAATATGCAGATGGTCTTAGGTGACCCCTGTGAAAGGGTCATTCGACCACCAAAAGGGTTGCGACCCACAGGCTGAGAATCACTGCATTAGCATGAGCTGAGGCTGCAGAAATCTCAATTTTGTGAACACAGTTTACATCTGACCCTTTACTACTGTGTCCACAGTATCACCAAGTTGGGAGAGATTGCAATCTCTTTGTAGTTGGTGAGTATGTTGCCTCAGTGTTAAGGCTTGTCCTACAGGTTCAGGTTTTCTTTTGGCTTTGTCCCTAAGTTCCGAACTGAGCAGGAGTATTGGGACAAAGCCAGGGGCTGCACTCAAAATGTGAGTCAAGTGTGAATTTTTTTTTTTTTCAAAGGTGGGTTATTGAGCCCACCTCAGTCAGGGACCCTGAATATTGGGTTTAAATAATGTGACACTCACTTTATACATTTGAAATTATATTTTAGAAAACCTTGCAAATACTTTTAAATGTATCTGAGTTTGTTGTAGGCCAGAGGTATATCACTATTATCATGTTGTCCTTGATTATTTTTACACCATGAGAGAACACATGAATAGCTCAAAGTAATTTAACTTTGGAATGAGAGATTATATATGGGATAGCTGATACTCTTGAAGTTTACTTCAAATAAATGATGAAAATAGCTATGAGAACTAGCTCTAGGACCTTCGCTTTTTCTCATTTTCAGTGGTCAACTTTTTATAAACCAGGTATAAAGAGAAGCAAAATATAATTCTCCAGATCATGAGGTTAGGCTCTTCAACTGGTATAATAGAACAGGTATAATGATTACATTTCTCAGAATTTCGTCGCTACATCCCCCTCCCCCCATCCACTTTGAGCCCATAGGGGCAGTTGAGATAGCAGTGAAGCTGTGATTAGATTAGATTAGATTAGATTAGATTAGATTACAGGATTTGAAGTACCAACATTAAAAGTACAAGAGTCACAACTGACCTCAAAGGTAAGATTTACCATGAAAATTCATAACAAGACTGGAGAACGATCAGTTTCAAAATACAAACCTTGAAACTTAAGAATTGTTGGCTGTTAAAACAACAAAATGCTAAGAACCAGGATATCTATTGGCAAAAGTCTGTTGTTGGAAACTGTCTCAGTTTAGCAAATCTAATCCATAATGCATATCAACTCAATGACTATTTTATTTTTGCCTGATTTACAGATACCAGTTTAACACAAGTGCTCTTGCTACATTGATTAGCTTTAAGCAGTGTCTTGGTTTGAAAAGAAACTTAACTAAACATGTTGTCTTCCCTTTCAATGTTGTTTTTTTCTTTTTACTGCAAACTACAGCACTGAGCACAATATTCACACAGCTTGTTCTCAATCTCAGTTTACTTAATTTCTCAGGTGTGGTGGTATTTTGTTTTGTTTTTCCAGGTCATCCTAAAAAGCAATTCTGTTTCTTTCTTAAACTGAATTTTGCTTTGATTTCCTTTATAAAGTAAAGAGTAGGGAACATAAGTCCCTTTTACCTTTTGCTATTAGAATCGAATTAGGAGCAGTTGCTTTGTCTGATTTTCATCCGTGGATTTTCCTGGAATGGAAGGCATATCTAGCTCAATGTTATTTATTTGGGCTGTATAAGTAGGGTCACTGCCTCTCCTTCCTCTTTACTGAACACCTAATTTTATTTTGTATTCCTTACACTTATGGAATGTCTGTCAATCAGAAAAATGTAAGTTTTGGAGAGGAAAGAAGGTACTTTGACCATACTTTCAAAAACAGACATTTTGAGATTTTTAAAAAATATATATTTTATTGATTTTTTACAGAGAGGAAGGGAGAGGAATAGAGAGTTAGAAACATAGAAGAGAGAGAAACATCGATCAGCTGCCTCCTGCACACTCCCTACTGGGTATGTGCCCACAACCAAGGTACATGCCCTTGACCAGACTCAAACCTGGGACCCTTGAGTCCGCAGGCCGACGCTCTGTCCACTGAGTCAAACCGGTTAGGGCGACATTTTGAGGTTTAAAAAATTTTTAATTTATTGATGTTATGGGGAGAGAGAAACATTGATTTGCTGTTCTACTTATTTATGCATTCATTAGTTGGTTCTTGTATGTGCCCTGATTGGGGGTTGAACCTGCAATCTTGGTGTACCAGGACGATGCTCTAACCAACTGAGCTAGGGTGAGAGAGAGAGTGTGTGTGTGTGTGTGTGTTTAAAAACACCTCAGGACTGGATGTGTTCATTATACTTTCTAAAAAACTTGTGTATAGTCATTGGGTTCATCGTTCATAAATTAGTATTCTTCCCTAATTCCTAAAGGTAGTTTTATACGCTAACTTTGTTTTGCCTTTCTAGCTGCTAAAAATAGATAATGATTATTGCAAAGAGCACATTTTTAAATGGTCTGCAGTGTGGACTGCTGAGCCCAGTGATGGAGTGGGTACATTGAGGAAGAATGTGTCATTTGGAATCCAGGACCATTCAACAAAGATAATTGCTTAAACTCTTATGGCTTACCAATGGTTTTTTCTTCTATTCCCCTAAAAAAAATTTTCACAGCCTTAGAGTTCCCCTCATCTAGCTACTTTCATTTCCATTCTCAAAGTTGTACTCTGCTTCTGTCACATTTGGGTGTCAAAAGGTTTGAAGTGTCAGTGTCTGAGCACAGCAAACCTATTTAATGATTTATAGGAAGCAAATAATTCTGTTTGCTAACTATTTGAAATGTAGGAAACTTTGGCTTTAAGTGTATGATTTTGCAAAGGATAAAGACATTTCCTGGTTCTTAATTTCACCTGAATCCATATTTTTCTTCTCTCTTACTAAGTTAATTTTAATGCTGATTTCCTATAAGAAAGCAATTGAATGGAATAAGCCCTATTTTTTTTAACTTTTTTTACCCAAGGATATATTTTTATTGTGTGTTTTTTTGTTTTTGTTTTTAGAGAGAGAAACATCAATTGGTTGCCTCCTGAATGTGCCCTGACTGGGGTTTGAAACTCAAACCTAGGTATGTGCCCTGACCAGGAATCGGACCTCCAACCTTTTTGGTGTGAGACAATGCTCCAACCATTTGGCCAGGGCAAGCCTTATCTTTTAATTTATAATTTGTACTAATGCTAGTCAGATCAGTTCACTTCCTTTTTTCTTGATTTAAGTAATATGTATTTCAAATTTGACAAATTAGAAAATCACTTTTTAAAATTTTGTCATTATATTGTATTTCTTTTATTAGAATTGTTTTTTCTTTTACACACTATACTGCAAATAAATCAAAGATGCAGACTCATACTTTATTTATCAACCTCTGCCGGGCTTTTATGTGAATTACATTATTTTTCACTCAACATTAAAAGAACAAACAAAATTTTAGGCTATAGCAAACTAATACCTTTAGCCTTAACTAAGCTAAATTTCACTAAGGGACAGAACATGCAATTTCCACATACTTTAAGGTATGACTCATCCCTATTAAAGTTGTGAGACTCAGAGCTACACCCATATCACTTAATTTTATGTCCTTCCCTGTTTACTGTGTCTGACCTTCAAGATTTCGTGACTGATGCTGAATGGAAGCCAACCATTGCAGAAATTTTGGGGAAAATGAATAAGAAGAATGCAAGGGCAAGTAGGAATTCATTTCTAGCATTCCTAAACCTGCTTTGTCGTGTCAACTCCACTACAGTCAGAGGAAAAGAACTGAGTTCATGGAAATTACCAGCTAAGCCTTCCATCTGTCTTTAATGTTTTTAGGAAATTTCAGGTAAGTGAGATGTCTTTTTTGAAGAAAGACTATTATGTATATTAAAACGAATTGTTCCATATTAGTAATGATGGGAAGCTTGTTTATTCTGCACTTCAGAAAGTCTTGCCCCCATTAGGTGTGGTTTTCAATATTGTGGAGTCCCAACCAACATGGAGCTTTTCCTCTATTCAGAAGTACTCAGAACCTTCATTGCAGTGTATGAAGTGCCAATTTTTGTTGGTTGGTGCTCAACTCCTTTGTTAAAAAATACTTCAGTTGAGTTTTAATTTTGTCCCTCATTATATCCATAGAAAAACTTTTAAAAAGCTTCAAAGTTTCTGCCAGGTTACATTTGCATTCTACACAGTCAAGTAAGAGTAAAATTGTGAGATATATAGGTCTTAATATCACCTTGATTGGGTTGATAGGTAATTTTTAAGTTATAGGATTAAGTTTTATGTTTATTACATACTAATGTAATAAATACTGTGCCAGACCCTGGAACACAAAGATGGACTAGCATACAATACAGATGAGATTCTAGGTGTGGGAATGAAAATGGAATAAAACGAGGCTATTTCATTTCTCCATCACAAATGGAGAATTGGCATATTAATCTGAACATGACATTCTATTTCAAAGATCTCTGCGCATGTGTACTTGTGTGTGAGAGACAATTACAAAACACTTCCTATGTGGCAGCTACTGTTGTAAGCTCTTTTACACACATTTTTAAAAAATCCTTATAACTGTTCTATAAGTGCTAGCCCATTTTTTTAACGTCATTGAGGCAGAGAAGCTATCTTGCCTAGATTTGTGCAACCAGGTCTAGGACCAGTATTTGAACCAAGACAAGCTGATTGCAGAGCCTGCACTCTTAATTTGGATACTTATACGTAGTACCTGGCTGAGTACCCATAAAACATCCCAAATTCTCAATAAAATTTGCCTACTTTTTAAAAAGGAAAGTTTAAATAGCACAGAAAGATTAAAGGTGTAATAATAAATTTTTTAGAGAATCAAAAATTCCCTTTCTCACACTGGCTCTAAGCCAGTCATTTTGTGTCATGACTTCCCCTCCCACATTCCACACTCCTAACCCCCAGCAGAGTACATGCACAGAAAAATTAAAAAACCAGAGCGGAAGCAGAGCTTATTGGTTATATTTTATACTCAGAACCTATTGTGCCTTTGGTTCACCCCTCTTTCTTTTTGGAATGTGTACATTTTCTTTATCTTCTAAATGATGAGAAAATATGACTGCTGAAAGTTTTTCTAGGATTCTTTAAAAAAATAGGTAAGACTACAGAAGTAAAAAAAAAACCTGCTCTGAGAACCTCAGGTAGGTAATTTGATTTCTGTTGTATGTGTAGTTTAAGGCTCCTGCCACCCCATCCTGTTATGTACTGTAAACCCATTTGGCCTTTAATAAACTGTTTTATGAATTGAGTGGTTTTGTTGGTCTCATTTCCCATCTGGTTGTGTATCTTCTTTGTTCATTTTCTATATGTTATTACTGCCCCTTCAAAACTGGTTTAATTAAAACAACATCTATTATATATCTAATACTATTGAGGATTAAAAATATATATATGTACACACACACACACATATATATATACACACATACATATATACATATATATTAGAGGCCTGGTGCACGAAGCTGTGCACGAGTGGGGTCCGGCCAGCCTGCCCTGATGGGGGCTGGCCAGGAGGAGGGGCCGCGGGTAGTTGGCTGGCCGGTCCCACCCCCTGATAGAACTCCAGGTCAAGGGGAAAATTTGCATATTAGCCCTTTATTATATAGGATATTATATGCATGCCATGGCTTTGCTCTTAAACTTAATGAAGGTGCCACCCAGTACTAAAACTGCAAAGTTTTAAAGGAAAAATCAGATGTTACAAAATCAATATGAACAGTGGTTGATTGTATATCTTAAACAATTGTGATGAAAATCTGGTGAAATCAAGGTATTCTATGAATAATGAAATTAATGGGAGAAACAATTTTGACCATATTTCTTCTAGATCGGTGCTTCTCAATGTTTCTGAATCACCTGATGATTTTGTTATAATGCAGATTTTCATTCAGTAGGTCTGGGGTCACCCTGAGAATCTGCATTTCATTTTTAAAAAGTAAATTTTATTGCCAGCCAGGCTCAGTTGTTGAGCATCCATCTATGAACCAGGAAGTCATGGTTTGATTCCCAGTCAGGGCACATGCCCAGGTTGTGGGCTCAATCCCCAGTGTGGGACATGCAGGAGACGGCCAATCAATGATTCTTATTAATGTTTCTATCTCCTCCCTTCTCTCTGAAACCAATAAAATGATCTATTTTTTAAAAAGCTTTATTGAAATATAATTCACATAAAATACACTGCTTAAAAGTGTACAATTAGATGGGGTTTTTTTGTTTTGTTTTTTTAAGCATGCAGCTGTCATTACTTTCTTAATCAGGAAATTTTCATCTTGCTGAAAAACCCTGTGCCCATAAACAGTCCCCCCCATTCATTACCACCACCACTATCCTCAAAGTCTCTGGCAACCACGAATCTTTTGACTAGATTTACCTAGTCTGGATATTAACATATAAATGAAATCATACATTATGTGGGTTCCTGTAGCTGGCTTAATATATTTTCAGGGTTCGTTCATGTAACATGTATCGGGTACTTCATTCCTTTTTATGGCTGAATAATATTTTTTAGTATTGCATAGACATGCCACATTTTATTTCTTCATCAGTTGATGGACATTTGGGTTTTTTACCTTTTGACCATCATGAATACTGCTGCTATGAATATTTGTGTACAAGATTTTGTGTGGACATGTTTTTGTTTCTATAATGAATATACGTAAGAGTAGAATTGTTATAGCTCTTTAAAAAAAAAATTGTGGTAAGAACAACATGAGATCTACCTTCTTAAAATTTTAAGTGCACAGCACAGTATTGGTTATCAGCATAATGTTGTACAATGGATCTAGGTCATGTGTTAACATGAACATTTTGAGGAACTGCTGAACTTCTAAAGTGGCTGAACTGTTTGAAAGTCTGCATTTCTAGTATTCTCCCAGGTAATGCTGAGTATTACATTTGGGTACCTATAAAGTAAACAATTAAGAACATGAACTTTAACTTAGTTCAAAGGGTAATAATGTCTGGCCAACAACAAAGGCGTTTTGGCTTTCTCAGTCCTCGGTGCCTCGTTTCTTCTAACATTAGTCTTACTGTACATTAGTTGAAAAGCATTTCTACGTTGAGAATGCCCATATAATTGGCAGAATATTAATAAAGGTCTTTGATAGTGTACAAAATCCTGGGTGGCTCTTCAATTTGCTGATGATAGCATCTGGAGGGGGATAGATGAATGAATGAACAGCAGAATCCAAAGATGTGTGCATTCCCTGCCAATTGAGTTCAACAAATGTCTTGAACACATGAATGGAAGTATACACACAAATGATTTAATACATTGTGAACATTAGAATAGATTAGAGGAAGGCAGATTCCAGGAAGACTCTCAGAAGACAGGGACTCCTAAACCCAAATTCTATTCATTCAATTAAGATCTGACTTACAGGAGATTCAGATGCTGGGCTTTGGTTCACAGTTCGATAGGAATGTCTAGGTAGGTAAGAAGTATAATGCCAGAAAGTGAGAGGAGGGAAGTATAGCTTAAAGATCTGTGGTGATTCAGAAGTGGTGATTTCGGTACTTCCATTTTGTATGAGGTTGGGGTGACAGTTGTGGGTAGTAGATGATAGAAATTAGGAAAGAATTCTTGGAGATGACATTTGAAGTAAGCAAGAATTTTAGAAATATGGGTATAAGAAGGAAATATTCTAAGACGATGAACCAAAATATTGAGGTCATAAATGGTGGCATATATGCCAACTATCTTTTACTGAACAGCTACCATGTGTCCAGGTTCTATGCTTTAGGGATGTATGCAAAAAGGCACAAAACAAGACCTCTGCTCATTAGTAATGGAGAAAGAGTTCTGCATAAAAATATAGTAAGGTGCAGAAGTCGTTTTAGGAAAGCACAATTCTATGGACTGGCCATTGGTTCTGTTTAGCTTGACTCAATAGGACCCAAAAGTGGAAGGAGTCGAAAATATGGATAAAGGTAAATTGGGGTGTTATTTATTGCCCTCTACTTTGGCAGAAATGGTCTAAACACCTACGCGTGTGGCTGGTAGTCAGGAGAGAGCAGGAGTCTGAATTTTTACTTCTTTAGTGCAGGGGTGGGCAAACTTTTTGACTCAAGGGCCACAATGGGTTCTTAAATTGGACCGGAGGGCCGGAACAAAAGCATGGATGGAGTGTTTGTGTGAACTAATATAAATTCAAAGTAAACATCATTACATAAAAGGGCACGGTCTTTTTTTTCAATAGTTTTATTCATCTCAAATGGGCCGTATCCGGCCCGCGGGCCGTAGTTTGCCCACGGCTGCTTTAGTGTCTGTCTGACTCACCTGTTACTATAAATTGATGCCTTTAGTAGAGGTGCAGGGTACTTAGTCTGGTCCTCAGTTTTTACAAAATGTATTACCTAATGTACTCTAGGGCCTAACTTGTGCATTGCATAGTTGGAAATTGTCGAATGCCTCGGTGTTCTCATGACATGCAGCTACCTCCCCAACCCCAACCTGAGTGAATAATGTAGCAAACTTCCATTTCCACACAGTATCCCATTGATCACACAGGTCAACCCCATTCAGTGTGGGAGGAGAACTACAACAAAAGCAAAAACACCAGGAGGTAGGAGTCATTGGGACCATTTTGGGATCTGGCTCCCACAATGTGGGGTGATTTTAAGGCCATTTGCTATTCTATTAAGCCAGGTTTGTAAAGTTGGTCCTTGATATGCAAACCTAAGAATGCTTATGATTCCTAGTCCATTTCAATACTCTGATTTCTCTCAAAGTATTTTGACCTAAGTGTAAATAGTATGTGTATAACATTTTTGACAGTGGGGTTGGTAGACATTTTTCTAAGATTCATAAGCTGCTTAATGTCTACCCTGGGGTGAGTTCGAATATGTTTTAAATGTGCATAAGGTGCTAATATTTGCTCAATAAGTGAATTCTCTCCCTCTTTGGGGTTTATTTGATAAGGTAATGGCAGGAATGGGGGATTGATTTAGAGGCAGGGGAAAGCTCAGGCATGACCACTAGGTTTCTAGTTAGATTATCTGTTAGATGGTGTCTATTTACTGAGATAAGGAAGGCAGGAATAGGCTTGGGATCAAGAGGGTGACAAGTCACAATTAGTTTGATGTGTCGCTGGAGATGCCAAAAACTTAAATTCAGCTCTCTCTCTACATGTAGTCTGAAGCCCAAGCCTATAATGGATAAGCCTCTAGGAGAATCAGGAAGCAAGAGCAACACTAAACCCAAGAGAGGAGTTTCATGAAGGGGAATAATCAACAGTGTCAAACAGAGCAGAGTGTGAGAAAGATGATTAAGATGTGTCCACAGAAATTAGTAATGTATGCCTGGCCGGTGTGGCTCAGTGGTTGACCTATGAACCAGGAGGTCATGGGGGGTTTTTTGTTGTTTTTTAAAATATATTTTACTGATCTTTTACAGAGAGGAAGGGAGAGGGATAGAGCGTTAGAAACATGGATGAGAAACATCGATCAGCTGCCTCCTGCACACTCCCCACTCGGGATGTGCCCACAACCAAGGTACATGTCCTTGACCGGAATCGAACCTGGGACCCTTGAGTCCGCAGGCTGATGCTCTATCCGCTGAGCCAAACCGGTCAGGGCAAGGAGGTCATGGTTTAATTCCCGGTCTGCACATGTCCAGGTTGTGGGCTCCATCCCCAGTAGGGGGTGTGCCAGAGGCAGCCAATCAATGTTAGAAACATCTTCCTTCCTTCCTCTCTGAAATCAATAAAAATATTTTTTAAAAGAAAAATTGGTAATGTGATGTCAGAGGAACAATGAGGGAAAAATAAATTATGTGTTGAGTAAGTGGAAAGTGAGAATGTGGAATAGTACAGACTAGACTAACTGAAGGAGAGAAGAAAACAGCTCAAAGGTATGAGGATGAGGATTTTTTTTAAGATTAGGAATGCCAGTTGAAAATGGGAAGATTAGATGAGGGGATGGTGACTGCTGACGCAAGGCCTCGGAGAAGATGGGAGCACATGGAATGGAAGGCCTTCAAGCAGTGGACCTGGGACAAGAAGACATTTCATCATCTGAGCCTGAAAGTAAGAATATATGTTTGCAAGGTGAGAATGGGAGATTTCGATTTACCTTATTTGCTTTAAATACTGGACTCTTCAGAAAGAACAGTTCACTTTGTCTTAAAAATCCACCAGAAGAGGAATGGCCTGGCTGGTGTTGCTCAGTGGTTGAGTGTCAGCCTATGAACCAGGAGGTCATGGTTCAATCGCCGGTCAGGGCACATTCCTGGGTCGCAGGTTCCAT